ATTTCTGTTTATGTTCTAACAATTCTTATTCATTATGTAATGTCTTTTGGAAAATAAAGGTTATTATTATTACTACTAAGTGTATGTGTATGTACTCAAAAATGTATAAAGAGAAAAACACCAAATTATAAATTAAAGCTTTAATTCATGCGGCGATGGGCTGATTAGATTTTGGGTATAGTTGGAGAAGTGCAGATTCTGTGAGAAGGAGGACAAAACCTCCATTCACATTCTAATTGAATGTGAAGTACTCCTGAATACAAGGGCACTATACCTAGGAGCACATCAAATAGAAGAGGGAGATTTACCTAACTTGAAGCCACTCCAAATCCTACATTTCCTTGAGAAGGGTCGTTACAGGCATTGAGACATTTCCTTGCTGCATTAGCGACAGAAGGGGACACAATAGATCTTTTAGGTCGTAGTCTATTAACACCCAATTCCGAACATAACATAGTTGGAGAATCTGCGAGTACTTTATAGGGGGTCGTTTTTTGAATTTAAAGTATATTTTTGTTATTTATGATTGAAGAAAATGGCAAAATTCAAGTTTTCTTAATATTTTCGTTGGCAATAAAAATATGAAAAATATTTCGAATAAAATGTGTGGAAAAATGTGTATCATTAATTCATATTCTAAACAATTTTTGCTTAGATAGGCCGTACTCAATATGTTTGAAGACTCTACTGGAAAGTCATGTTTTGGAAATATCATATATTTTTTTTATTAAATATGCATTAAATCTGTATGATTTTTCTTTAGGACGAGGGAGGTATCAGGCAACTAATTTCCAAAATTATAGAACATAATCTGGGGCGTAGTGACGCCATTGGATACTTGTCTCCTATTAGCAAGGAATTTTACCAGGAATGTTTCATGATGGAATATTAAATATTGCGAAACTAAACAAGATACAAGTATGACAAAAATTTAAAAATGCTAAAGTAACAGGAAGGCTGAAGGAATATAGCACCATACTGACAAGGGAGGGGGAAAGGAAAGGGTATATTATATGCCGCGTTTGAGAATCCACATCGGATGCATTTTTTACATCTCGAGCGTTTTTTTATCCACATCGGACACATCTGTCCCATTACATTTACGTATACTGAATCACGTGATCAAAGATTTTTACATCTCAGATGCATCCGATGGATTCTCAAACGCAGCAATAGATGTTTATCATTGTATTGAGTAAATGGCACCACAAGGTGGAGCTTATTTCAAATTAGCAGTGAGGATAGGAGCGGTAATGTAGTTAACATTTTTAAGCCCACAAATTAAATATTAAAAATTTATAAAATAAAAATGTATTTTAATTAGTAAAAAAATTAATAGATAAAAAAAAAGATTTACATGAAATTTTGCACATTTTTTGAAAAAGTTACCAGTGCTTTTCTGCAAATAAAAATCCCATTTATCTAGAGTATGATATGTTATTCTAGTCCAAGATCCGTAGGTAAGGTCGACCTTCACCCATCTGTTTAATGGATATAGGTTTTTTTTATTAAATAAAATGTTTTTAAATATACCTCAAATGGGTTACCTAAGAAAATACGGTCTCGGCCATTATTTACTTTCCTTTCTATGTACAGATCAGGAAAGTATAGGAATTATGATAAAGGTTGCTTATAGATTCTCTATTATTCTCTATTATTTTGTCCCTATACATGATTTCCCTAAAATGGACCTAGTTCGAGATATTTGAGGAAAAGTGCAAATTTCGAATTTTGAAGATAACTCAAAAACGGATGAAGAGAAAAGCACCAAATTTTAAACTTAAGCTTTAATCCATTCTGCAGTGAGCAAATTAAAGTTTGGGCATAGTCGAAGCATCTGGGGATTACAGGGTGTCGTTTTTTTTACTTTAAGAAAATAAATAGTCTGGACCGTATTTTCTTAGGCAACCCATTTGCGGTATATTTATAAACATATTTTATTTAATAAAAAGAAACTTTCATCCATTCAACAGATGGGTGAAGGTCGACCTTACTTCGGATCTTAGACCATTCCTGAATATTGCTTGTCTACACCAGATATACTGGAAAAACTTGTATTGCGTAATGAACCAATATTGTAATTAGACCTTGAATTAGTCATTACACAATGTAATGACACATACACCACAAATGCCAAAATTGCATACCAGAAGGGTGTAAGTGGGGATACTTATACCACGTGACTACCACGGCACTAATAATAATAATCATAATAATCTCGCTAATTCACCTCCTTACCAGTGAATTTCGACCCCTGAACCTGACAGACCTTGTGCGTGAAAGGGGATTATTATTATTATTATTTGCAGTGGCGCTCCGAGGGAGGCGACTTAAAGATGATTTACTGTGCCATTTGACATACAGGTGAGAAAAATTCGGAAAACCTCACCTACCATCATGTGAGTCAGATTCAAAAAATCCTCTCAAAATAAAAAAAATACAATAAACTCCCTTTATAAAGAATTGGGATAGTACGTGGTGTCCAAGTAAGAAAGGATGCCGGCCATATCCAAGGAACTATTTCTCGAACAGATTCAAGATTTTTTTAACACGTGTTTCCTAGAAATCGCTGGAAAAATTATTTTCAAGTTCCTAACTTCGCCGCTAGGGGTCTTAATGCTCATGGCGTCTGATTAAAACTGGATAAAAAATGCAAAAATATGAAAATTGTAATCAGAGCAAAATTTCACTCAATTTAGTTACCCACTCGTTTATTTCCAAAAAAGTAGGATAGATTTAGAATGGGGACTGATCCACACAAAAACGGATCTAGGAAGCATTAAAAAGCCACATACATACTAGTTTAACTGTTTATCTTTGATCATTCGCCATGTGAAGTGAGCAAGCAGAATAGCTCCACCCGGATATTTAGCATCGGGGTGGTCGAAACCCACCAAATGGTAACTTTCAAAAATGGGAGCATCTAGAGACACCTCTCAGCGACATTATTAACCTGCAGCTGAGAGACTGGCTGTCCTTAAATACATCTCAACAGCAACCAGGTTTCTGATGGGTTGAGAAGCAGGTCCTATAGGCCCCTGGAGGGTGCAAAATGGGCCTAGTAAGGCATCAGTGATATGGAGCAATCCACCCTCTCCATTTTACAGATACATATCATTCATAAGCATTGTGCCATCTAGTGGCGAAGTTAGAAACTTGAAAATAATTTTTAGCGATTCCTGATGACACTTTTACAGACTGTATCCTACAGTCGACTACCGGCGTCCTTTCTTATTTGGACACCTGGTACACAAGCACAGCGAAGGAAATGATAATAGAACTATTACAGTGTCATAACTGGGTCATAACTCATAAAACACACACCAGAAATCTGGAGTCCAAATGAACTGGAGCTCGCAAAAGAACCAACAGAGAAGATTGCCAGATTTCCAAAAAAGTGCTGGACTACTATGAATTGAAATTGACAAGTAACTTATTTGAATATTAACGGGAATTGACGGACCTGATATTTTAAACAAAAGACTGCAGCCTAGTCTTTGGATTTACTTTTAATATTTTTGATGCACGAGTTTTTAATAACAATAAAGCACACATTTCAAAATGAAAACTTCATTTGACAGTAATATTTTACCTTGACTGGTGCTCGTATATACAGAGCCATAAAAAAGGAGAAATATTTATAAAGAAATCAGCGATAACTCGTAAACCAGCTAATCAAAAATATCTAAAATTATTCTTTTGAATGTGGGTTTTAGTGCTATTTAATAAATCCAATAATAGAATTTTTCTCTAAAGTAATTAGGGAAGCCAATAATTGACCCCATTTAATATAACATGGGATTTCCTATGTCCCGTTCGACGATGCAACAGTATTCCAAGAGCATGGCTAACAAATCAGGACCAATACCCATAGAGCAGGAAAATCACCCCAAACAGCTCTCCATCAATTAGTAAAAAAAAATTAGAAGTGAAGAAAGAATTGTACATTGTATCTCACAAAATAAAAAGAACAAATGTTGTGAGATACAAAAGATATTCTTTCTTTACATTTAAATTTACCCTCAACTCAAATATGTCTACTCCCCTTGTCAATGAGTAAAAAAGGTAGAGAAAAGAGTAGAAAATGATGGAAAACAGGTAAGGTTAGAAGCTTCTTTGGATATTTAAGGAGCAATATTTGATCATATTTCATAAAATACTTCGTATTAAATTTTATGCAATTAATTTATTTACAGTTCCATTTTACAAAATATTAAAATTGCTTAAAATGCTAGTAAAAAGGTTTTCCTACAACCATATAGGAAAGGGACACCTATTGCTCTACTTAGTTCTATGGAAAGCGGTCCATATCACACATCAACTTCCGTATCAGCTGTCAAATATTTCAAATGCATTATTTCTATTTTTATTTATGTAATATCTATATTAAAATTAAAATCTATTTAATGATTAAATTGATCTACTGATTTTTATACCTGGACTGTAGATTTATTTTGAACAATTATTATTACAATAAATTAAAAAATAACTGCTCATAATATTTTTTGCATAAGGCTTTATAGCGCAGATAGCTAGGCGTTCAATTCCCGATAAAACATTTTGTTTATTTTGGAAATACATTAAAATTTAAATAATTATGTATTATAGTTGTTTATTTATTTTAAATCCATTTTATTTATATATTTTTCAAAACTAAACCAATGAAAAATATTACTGCATTGTATTATTTTTTGTACCTAATATTTGTCTTTATCATTTTATGAAAGTGTTTATAAATAAAATCGCAATGTTTTTAATTTTGACCAAACACCATCTGCAAATCATGTTCAGGTTCAAAACCAATAAGGCAAATGAAAATAAATTGTAGAACCGGTCACATCTTGGATTAACTTTCATAGCCAGATTTTCCGATTTAACATTTTTTTTTTGATATTTTATAGTCGTAGGTAAAATAAAGTACATCACTTGTGCAAAAACGTCGCGCTCGTAATGTAATATTTCAATTGTTATTGTCAACACATATTCATGGAAAAACTCACCGTTTTTAGGAACTGCTTTATCAAAACCAGCCATAGTTTGAATATAGTAACTTTGATCCAGATCCCAAGCTTTCTGAAATACAAAATAATTCACAGTAAATTATTGACTTAAAACATTAATTACAATAATTTATTTTCTAATATTTCTTTTTTAATAAAATGAAAAGTTTTTTAGATATTAATTACATAGAGCTATTCAAGTGATGAAGATACCGTTATTGAAATTAAAAATGGTCAAAACAATGAGAAATGTTTTTACAGACTGGCCAGAAAGAATAAAGTGGCTCATATTTGAGTGATGAACTAAAAGAGATTTCCAGGAACGAGATATTAGACCTACTAATCGAATAACATTCTGTAGCACAGCAGATGATGCAAATTAATAATTAAGGACCAGATTATAACATTTGTAACTTTAGAAAAAATATTAAACGTTTCTTTTACTTATAGTTTTGTATATTGAATAGTTAAGGGCCAGTACTTTGTGAGCTGATTAATTTAATAGACAATCAAATTTTGACAGAGAATTTCGGTAGTTTATGCAATGATTATAACTTAATCATGTTTTTAATGTGGGCGACATCTTTGTTCTGTACACAAATGTCCTAACTCTAGACCATCGCGACCATCGTTCTCAAATCTTCAAATATCTCTATACCGCATCGGTGTATTTGAGAAATGCATTGATGCATACTGAGCTTATATCTTATCGTACATTGAAAACTTAACTCACGCAAAGTAATACTCTAAAGCCTTGTTCAGAGTAGGAGCGTCGGCTGTCGCGATGCATCGAGCGACGCGTCGTTGGTAAACAACCTAGTGTTATCAAACGCATACGTTCAGAGTGAGAGCGACCAGCGATGTGATGCGCTGAAATATCAATCACGCCACTAGACGCAACGCTATCGCATCACGACGCCCGACGCTCCTACTCTGAACAAGGCTTAAGTCGCCATTTTGATTATACTGCCATCTTAGCTTTGTTTATAAGTTATGCGGTTAGTAAACATTAGTAAGTTGTATATCACAGCACGTGTATTAACGGTTTAGATCATTTCCATAATATTCATTATTCAAAGATTTTAGTGTTAATTTATTTAATAACTTGTTTTTTTTGAAATCATAAATTATATTGAATATTTGAGTGAGTAATACAATTATTAGTACTTGCCAAATTTTCATCTTATTTTATGGCTATTGTATAAAACATATTTATTTATTTTTTTAACAGAATAATTTTACATTATACGAATTTTTTTCTAAAGTCTTTTCTTCGTATCTTAATTTCATAATTTTCATTCATAGTTTGTAGTTGGCGGTATTTATTTCATTAAAAAGGGGTGTTCACTAACCACGTGACGTAATGCACATAAGCTGTCCAAAACGGTACCTTCTAATAACAGGCCCTGTTGCAATGCCATGTAACAGTAAAATCTATAGTCAGCTAAACCTAGGTGACTTTGTACCCTACTAACCCTATATGAAACAACCCCATAAAAGCTGTTCGTTATTATGTGCCGTCTACTTTATCATTTCCAAACTAGCCGATGCAAACAATAGCAAGTGAGTTTGTCAACATCAAAAGGTTTCGACATGTTCTGAAACTCAAGTCTGTTTACTGGAAACGGTCGTGTTGTGTAGTCTAAATTTAGAACCAAATTGGTATAGGTAAGTAAATAACGTTTTTTTTTATAGATAAGTAATTTATTTTGAAACGCTGAATAAATTTATATACTTAAGTATATTTATTAGTGGAATATATATTATATATCTGTGTATCAGAACCAGACTAGGTTAAGTCCAAGTATTGTCATTTTTAGGTTTCTATGATGTCCCATACATCTTTTAAACTACTTTTATATGTATCTTAAAAGGTAAATATAAAAATATTAATAAAATATTGAAAAAATTTGTTCTGACTTCTTCGCGACAACCAGTGGAAAATAGCCGAAAACAAAACTGAAACAAAATGTAGTCCGCTTGAGGGAAACAAGAGTTCTGGATTTGTTTTTCAAGTTCCACAAAACACGAACAAAACATAAGGTTTGTTCCAACACGCGCGAAAATCGTAACATTACCGTACAAATCGTGCGCTCTACCCAAAAATTGTATACAGCGCATGATTTGTACGGTAATATTACGGTTTTCACACGTGTTGGAACAGACCTATTGACTCAACTGTCCGTTTAGTGGAAAACCGTCTTTAGAGATAATTTATAATTTTGTCAAATTTTCTAAATTTGATGTATGCTAAGTAGACACTTTTAATACGATTTTTGTGCTATTCCCTTTTTTTCTATGTTCCACTGAAAGGGTTGATTTTACTCTTGGACCTACAAGGTACCTACTATGTAACACTAAAGTAGAAGTATTTTTTATTTGTTCAAATGGCTTGGGAAAATAAGACGCTGACTTCACATCAGACTTTCCTTTTTTCTTCTCTCTTTCCCCAACTCCGTGATAAAGAACAAACTGAGATGATTAAATGCTGTAGTTTGAGGAAATACATTTTTAATACAAACAAGGTTAGCAAACCCATGTGCTGTAAATGTGAAATGGACAAGAAAACGTTAGTATATTATACGAAATCTAAGTCTGTCATTATAAAATTATTAAACAGTGCGGACAGAAATATTGCACATATCGATTCAAAACAACCAAGAGAAACACTATAAAGCAGCTAAGTCAGAAACATGTGGCTTGGGAGAGACAGCTGTCAGGATATGATACAGAAATGGAGAATGTTTTATATACCAAGAGTAAGTCCATAAACTATAAAGGAAACAGTATGCAGTGTCTCGAGTATCTATATTGGTAACTCCCTTAATATAAGAGATTGAGATGTTTTATTAAAAGTAATGTAGTTTTTAAGGTATTTAAAAAAAAAGCTGATATCGTTTTTGTTTAATGAGGGCTTGACCGTTAATTTGACGTTCCAAAGCATTACATGCTTAAGGCTCTTTTTAATTATTTTTATTATTTTTTTTTGTGTGTGTGTCATCGGCTTCAACTGCTCTGGTTATTTCGCCTCGTGTTCTGTGTAGACTTTATTACTGTTTTCCAGCGCGACTTTAGGATCAGCACTGTTAATTAGAACCCAACAGTGAATGGTCGAGTGGGGAATCTTACCAAGGCATCAGAATTAATTTTAAATAATTAAATTAAATATAAAAATTTCGGCCAACAACGGTGGGATTCGAACTTGGGATCCTTGGATCCGCAGCCAGAGACTCTACCTCTGAGCCACCCACCCCTTACTATTATTATTACAAACAAATTAGGGCTGAGGAATGAATCCTATTAAGCCCAAAATTACAAAGTTCAATAACAAAGACAATTATTAAATAAGTAATTAGCAAATAACATAATGCAAACAAAGCACTAAAAATAAACTTTTAGTTTTCCTTAAAGAAGTCATCGAGTCAGTTTTTGAATACATTTACTGGCTGTGCGTGAACAACACTCGAGGGTAAATTATTCCAAGTATAAAAAACTCTATTACAAAAAAGTTTTGGCGGGTACGTTTTTTAAAATTTTCTTTGCTCAACTTATACTCATGTCCACGTAGCCGCTCATCTGTATTCCGTGGGAGTATACTATAGAGGTTGGATGAAAAAGTACCATGAATAATTCTGTAAGTCACAATTAAATCACCTCTTAATCTTCTGTGGGCAAATGAACACAAACTCGCCATGTTAAGCCATTCTTCATACGATGGTCTGATTCTGCCGAAAAGTATTTGAGTAGCATAGCGTTGAACATTTTCCAATCTGTTTTGATCAGAAACCAGATCAGGACACCACGCAGGTCCGACATATTCCATCAACGGTCTAACGTAAGTTGCATAAAGTTTAGAAAATGTTTGAAAGTTCACACACGTGAAGGACTTTTTTAATAGGTAGAGCATTGAGTTCCAAAGTTTACATACCGCTGATATGTGCTCTGACCTTGTTAATGAAGAGTTTATAATGAGTCCCAGGTAGTTATAGGAGTTCACAGTTGCTAACGCACTACCGTTTAGATAATAGTTCACACACAGATTATTTTTTCCTATATGCGTGTTTAAAGGAAGTAGCCAGGTGTCACACCAGTTTGAAATAGTTTCAAGGTCTTTTTGTAGCTGGGTAGAATCTGTTATAGGATTAGATCTGCAGCGTATACCAAGAATAGTAATGGCCATATGACAGAGCCTTGAGGAACACCATTTAGAACTGGATACTCTGACGAGAACATATATCTAACTTTTACCTTGAAGATGCGATTTGACAGCGAATTCCAGCTTTTTCCAACTTATAAAGCAATTTCTTTTTGGGAAAACGGCCGAAGGCTTTAGCGAAATCAAGATATACGACATCGACATGCCTTATTATTGTCCACAGACGTAATCCAAGATAGATTCCATTTTACAGGCAATTGGGACGAGGCTTATTGGACGATAGTTGGATGGACAGAGTTTGTCAACCTTTTTAAAAATAGGTGTCACCGAAGCAATTTCCACATTGAAGGAAATGTGTGAGATGTAAAGAAAGATGTCATAATAATGGATAGAGGTAAAGCCAAATAAGATGCGAATTCTTTTAAAAGCATTGCGGATAAATTGTCAATTCCAGGTGAGGAATTTGATTGATTTTTTGAGATTTTCATTAACAATTGCAGATGAGAATTCGACATTACATAAAGAAGTTGCTGGTCGGGCATCGTGACTAACTGGGATGTCGCATGTGGGTTCTAAGGAAATTACTTGTGAAAAATGGTTGGCCAGAGCTTCAGCTGTTTCTTGATCATTACTACATAAGATTCCATCCGTTTTTTTAAGAAGCGGGACTGATATTAAGGAAGCATCTTAGTTGATTAAATAGCTTCTTAGGGTTATCGCTCTAGCGATATATTCTTCGTATTCTCTTCTTGCGTTATCAATAACATTAATTAAATCGTTTGCGAAACGTCGATGGTAAACAAAATCATCATGTCTTTTGGTTGCTTTAAATTTTTTCCACATATTTTTCTTATGTTTAATTAAAGTTAAAAATTGTCCATTGATCCAGGGTTTTAATTTGTTCTGAGGACATTTTT